AATCTTGCTTTAATTTTTTCTGGCCTCAGTTGCACGCAGACTCGCTTCAGCTTGCCGCTTCTTGCGCCGCATTTCAGCCAGCCGAGCTAGGCACTGCTTCCGCTCCTTCCTCTCGTTCGACCACCTTGCACGCCTAGCGACATCACCCGCTGCCTGATGCTGCTTTCGCTGTTCACCGGTTTCTTCCGCGCGCATTGCCTTCTGCCTCGTGACGTCAGCTCCCTCTCGCCTTCGTCCTTCACTACTCTCCTTCTCTCTATGCGGCGCGCTTCCCTTTCCACTGTTTTGTGTGCAAACAGTTGGCATTGGATTTTCCCTGTCATGTAGGTACTAATGCTAAAGCATTAAAAAGTAAGACAAGAAACGTCCTAGATGCCGCTCTGCGCGTTGCTGCGCTCATGACACAATATACTTTTTTTTTTTGTGCTTGTTTTTGGGATTGCTGTTTCTTTGTCAACCAACCAGTGTTTAGGTCATCAATTTATTGTTTGCAACGCCCTGATGGGAATTTTTTTATTTTTTTTTATCGAGGTCAGTCTTGAAAACTTTTCGAGATAAGCAATGAGGAAATGTTTGTGCCTATGGGAGTTCATTTTATGACATTTGACTTAACCAATATTTCAAGATAGTTAAGTTTGCGTTAACAAGTGATTACTGTACTTTTTCCTCAAACCTCTCGAATGTAGTGAAGGTACATCAATATGCAATGGCACAAATTCGGTTTCGCATGATTAATTTTTCGTGCCCAACTACTATAACAAAGTGACCTATACTACAAAAGCTTTTGTTTGTCCTGTGGACTTTGTTATGAAGGAGTTTGATTGTATGTTGCTTTTCCTAAAAAAAACTCACCCTCGGGGCTTAGGGAGGGTAGTCGGACCCACCCTCCCACTCCCTTTTAAATCTGCTCCCATCTTTGGTCGTGTCTATCAAAATGCACAGATGTCCTTTGCTTTTGTCAAGTTTCAAAACTGTCCAGAGTAAATTAAGGAGACCTGCATGAATTCAGCTCAAGCAAAGGTTCTTCAATTATAGTCACCGACTGATTTTGCGGACTTCGCAGGGACCGATAAAACGTCTGAATAATAGAACAGCCTGAAAAATCGGCAGATTAAAAAACTTGCCTTTAATATACCTAAGCGGGCTTAAAATAGTCGTCATTAGTGCCTTGCTTCGGGTTGCGCCTCCACTTGCATCCGGCCACTTTCTCTTAGCTTGAAAATTGCAGCCTTCTTTTCTAGCGTTATGGTAGAGTACTTTTCGCACTTCTTAGTGACACTTCACGGCAGCGGAAGAACAGATTGGGGGCCATGACGTCTAAGCCAGCGTAGTCGGAAAACGCAATTCACCGAGACGAGATGAGAGGTGCAAGTTCATGACTGCAGAATGGCAAATTAACAAATCAAAATGGTAACAGTGATTATGATAATGACGCGCACCTAGAAAAAAAAAAGCCGTAGCGCAGCGTCACCTAATGGCAGGACGAAAGGCCCGTTCAACCGAGTACAACCGAGGGAGACGAGATCTGTTAAAACTTCTTAAAATTTCTTAGGACGAGGGAACACTGGCATTTTGGCGCCATCTATGCGGTGACCCTGGAATTGCATTTCACAAGAGTGAGGGTTTTGCGGAATTTCCGAGGTCAAATGTGTGTAATACCTATAAGAAAGGCTCGTTTATAACGTTGACAAAAGTTTTTCGAGCCAAGAAGGGAAGAATAATTCGCGAGAGAAATAGAAAATATGCCGGACCGCCAAGTTTACACTGCTACCCAACAGATGGCACCAGTGTGTCCCCTGGTTGTAAGAAGTTTCAAGGCACCTTGTTCTAAGAGGTCGCAAGAGTGTGAACGGGCCTTTAGCAGTACTGTCAAGACCGTTTATAATGAAGTCAACAGGAATTTGAAATCACTTTGCTATATCCGCTTCTTTGTTATATCTAAACTCCATAAAAGTAATGAAAAAAAAAAAAAAAAAAAGTATAACACTGGTTGTTATGGGTACATGTTTATCGTTCCTGCAGAAAGCAGCTGAGGCTTCCCTGCTCACGCTGTCTGCTAGATCAGAGCCGCTTCTCGCCAACTGCAAAAATCTGGTCAAAAGAAGATCCTGCGAGCTACGTACGGACCATGTTGACAGCTGCAACAGCAGTTATAGAGGATGCTGACGGCATTCTTTACGTTTATGTGCACTTAGTCGAGGATGGTGGCACGCTTTTGTTTTAAGGAGATCGCCTTCGTTTTCCCCGTCGAAGTGCCAGCGGTGCTGGTCTGGCTACTGTTAGTGGGATGAGTCGTCGAATCGGTGCTTGAGCGAAGCTAGACTAAAGTGCATCCACACTGACCAGCAACCATGCGACGCCAACTCGGAACACGAAGCAAACAAAGAAGCACGCATGGCACCGAGTTCGTGCTCAAGTTTGTGTTTTGTCGGTAAAGAGAGCATAGATTTAAGAGGGGGCAACTGCTCCATCAGGGCCACGTGGTTTGTGGGCCGCACTTGCACAACGAGCTGCAGACTGCAAGGAGTAGAAAGCGTTCACCGCCTGCAAACGTGCCCACCTCTCTACCCGGTCTCCTCGCCACACTGACCACGAGACTGCCGAATGCTCCGCCAATCTGCCTATGAAGTGTTTGCCATTATGTTGCAAATTCTCTCGATGGTTGGAGTTGCTCCCCCATTTAAATCTAGGCGCTTTTCGTCATCTCCGTCGGTATGTAGCCGCTAGCGCTCCGAACGCCCCTGTCAGCACACTGTGACGGCTTCTCCGCGTGCGATGCAGAAAAGCCGCTTCCCAGGTGAGGAGCAGGCGACTATGCAGAGGCTGCTGCCGGCGGCCTTTGCAACATGTCTATAGCCCATTCTGGGTGGCTGCTCGGCCGCGGCGGCAAAATGCAACAATTAATAAACTTTCCAATTTTTTTTTAATTATCTCTAAAAATTAGTTTTGCTTTATCCGTTGGAACTGTTCAATTTCCTTCCCTAAAAACAGACACAAATACACTGAAAAAGTGCAAGGGAGAATGGGAAATTGTGATCGCTTCATTATAACCGCTATTTCGTTATAGCCGATAAATTTGTTATAAACGGTCATGGCAGTACTCGAGTATCCCTGCCAAACCAAGCCAATCCATCTGCGGCCAGCATAAAATCTTAAATGAAACTTCTCAGTGGTGTTTCCCGCTGACCGCTCACGACGATTTTGTCCGAAAACTCTATCTTTCGGACTTCAGGCTGTCCGAAACACCGGTCATGAATATGCACTATTTCTATCAGGTAGGTCACAGTTCTTCCTTTAGGTCCGAAATATCGAACAAGTTTGAATCATTGGCATCCGAAGAATCGTCTGGCGACTGTGCTTTATCAAAACTACCTTTTGATTTTTTTTATTGACATCTGCTTAGCAGCGTACGATGCTTAAAATATAAAGATGAAGTTCCAAGAAAATGTACTGGTATCCATGCATAACGGTTTAGGTTCTGAGAACACAAATAAAACATAATCTTTATTTTCTGGCATGTGCTGTGACACTGGATAGAGTGTTTTTCATGTACAGTTGAACCTCGATGTAACGAAGTCGGTAAAATTCGCAATTTACTTCGTTACATTGAAATTTCGCTAAATCGAAATTTGGCTTTAGCATGCGAAAAAAAATTCCGAAACATTTTACGGGTATGAAAACTCACCGAAAATGACATTTATTTAGGGGCGAAGTAGTCCGCGAGTTTTGCTTGCGCCTTGTCCGACAGTAGCAGCGGCGTCATACGGCGTTCGAGCGCCCAGAGCGCTTGCACGGCATCCTGCTGCCCATGCGACGCCGTGTACCTCCTCAGTACGTCCATTGCGTCGAGCACTTCCCGAGTGCTCGTGATCTCGGCAGTTTCTTCAGGATGGCGTCCAAAACGTTTGCTTTCTCATCCAAAGAAAGAACTTTACGTTTCCTTATGGCAGCAAGCACGTAAGTGAACCGCCCGGTTAAAAAATAAAGCTGTTTAGTTTAGGCAGTTTAGGCGGTGCCAATGTTTTTAACCTACACAGCACTCTTCACCGCACAGTTTACTTGCCCCCTTGCCACCCTTGCGCCCACAGTGATGCTTGCGCCGCTTGCGCCCACGCTCGCAAGACGATAATCGGTCTTTTCGGTCTTCTCCTAGATGGCACTGCCCGTGCGGTCGCGCCATCACGTCGCTCCCCCGCTGAAGTTGGCTCCCGCGCTACCCGCGGTGCAGTGGAGTGGACTATGGTTATCAGTGAATGTCAGTGGTGATGCTGGTATGCCGTGTTAACTTTTTGCTCGGCATTTTCTGGCCAACCTCGCGGAATCCGCTTTGCCGCATGCCTCGCCATTGCTACCGGCGCCGCATCCTCGGGCAGCCTGGGAACGTTGGAAGGCCTGTCCCCGTTAAGTAACCTATCAAGCGCTCGCGTTTGCGCATAATTTTTTTTTTTTAACCACAATTTTTTTGCGAAGTTGTTTTTTAGAGTTGATTTATTTATTGCCTTCTATGGCAATGGCACTTCGTTATAGACTTAGACTTCGTTATATAGAGACTAAAAATACATGGGGTCTATGGGCAAGAAATTATGAAAAATAAAATACTTCGTTAAATCGAAGATTTCGTTACATTGAAGTTCGTTATATCGAGGTTCGACTGTATAACTTTATTGACCTGGACAAGCTTAGAAGTTTCGATTTATTTTATATGCAGTTCGCAAGACTGGGTGTTGGCTGTTCGTGTTTTGCCAGTTGCCTGTCTTTCTTTGTAGAGGCATTTGGCTAAGATATTTTAAGCTACGCATCAATGTCCTGTATCTTTTATTCTCAGTCGTGGAAGCTCAGTCATCACATTACTTTTTGATCTGTCTACACAAAAAGATGGCAAAGATAAACGCCCCAAATCGTCTGATGCTAAATTTACTTTTGTATCATATGCTTGTTAACCTACACTTCCAACTGTCACTTTTTGTCTAAATTTCAACTTGTATGTTTCTATTTCTTAGATAACACTTGTCGAGAAACAAAAAGCAGACCTTCTCTTCAGTGGTATCACAAAGTTTACGGAACTCGGGTCTGAACTGCGGAGCCTTGACCAGTAAGATTTTCTTTCTCTCGTATTAGTGCTTCAAAACTGTTCTCGATTTCTAAGGGGATCCCAACCTACAAGTTTCATACTGCAGTAACAAGATTTTACTTATGTTGATCGGTGTTCATGTGCATGATTGATTCTTGCTGCGAAAAAAAGCACATGCATCATATTTTTCATGAAAACAATCAGAAAGCAAATCTTACCCATGAAAGGACCCTATAGCAAATGGCTAGGTCTGTGAAATTTTGAGATTTACTGAGCACACAAGTGTCAGGCTCAGTAGGGGAGTGCAGATTTAGCCTTTGGGGGCAAACATTATCCCCGTGTTGTCACTTCCTAAGTCCTTCCAGAAGTTCTAGTAGTATGTGCGTGTTGTTTGGAAAAGTTGATGTGCAAACCGTTTTCATCAAAAGACGACCTAGTGTTCTAGTAGATGTGGCAGCAGACAGTGTTAAAAACAAATATCTTTCCAAGTTGCTGATGACAGTTCCAGAAGTCTCTTTTGAACTTCAATTTTGGTGAAAAATTTTCTTTCTTGACAGATCCAGCTTATCAGTGATCGTACATCACTGTTCCTGGTGTGAGGAAACGTGACATTTTTCTGGTGCTTTCTTGACGTTGCAACAGACATTGTAGGCCTCCCAAAAGCGGTGGTTTGATTGCTGCAAAGGAGCACTTTTCCTGCTACATCCTGCTACGTTTAACGAAAATGTGTAGGGAATTTGCACTAGCCGTGTGTCAAAAGTTAATTTCACTTTCTCATTTTCGGCAGCTCAAGCCCTCTGCAGTGCCGGATTGTTGCATTAGTTATTAACAGTCCTCGGAAGTTCCACAATATTTGTCACTGTTCCCAATATGTCTAGGTTGGCTAATTGGCTCCGTTGAGTGTGCTTCTCACTGTACTCGGACGCACTGCGGCCAAGCAACACACGTGGAGTGACATTGCGATTTCGCACATCTCCTTTTGCTGCAGCGCAGCTGTGTGCTAGGGAGAAAGAACTCCTCCAGGGGGGGATTGTGTCCACGCATGCGCCGGTATCTGGAAACAAAATTGGAACATCATGTATAGGTTACAGACTGATGCAGTATCTTTTAGGGTGTGTATGTATCATTCGTCATGATATAATCTTTTTCTTTTTTTCTTTTAATTCGAGGTTTTAAGATGGATGCTCAGGTATGGCGAGATGATCTTGAATGGATTTGGTGGCACTCTTATTTTTTTTATGTCAAATTTTCATTTAGTTTTTGACTCAATAGTTTTCGGTCTGTTCGAGAACGCAGTCATTGAAGTTTAATCTACACTAATTGAGCTTTAGCATTGGACAGGTTGAAACTTAGGAATAACTTTAACGTGTGTTTCAAGGGTGCCTCCTGCAATGGACCCTTTTTATAGATAAAAAATGGCCGTCGTCATAACATTCTTGTTACTGTGCCTGGTGCTGTTATACACAGCTGTACAGCTAGTTGAGTGCTTGAGGGGGTCAAATTGTCTAGTTCACAGTGGATGCTAATGAGTAGTAGCACAGGACTATGAAAGCCAAGGGGGCATTGTATTTTAGTCTTACCATGCCAAGAAATTAATCTTTTTATTTATTTATTTATATATCTGAACATACTGTCGGCCCCTTCTGAAACCAGGATACAAGTGGGAAACATAATTATGTTTAACAGGATATATACAACAGCCCAACAATCAGTTGCAAACATGGTCTGCACTGCCTTGCTCCAAAACAAGCAGAATACCTAAGTTACACATCTGCAACAGTGGCGTACGCAGGATTTCATTTCGCGGGGGGCCGGACCAACGAGAGTAAAGGGGGACAAGATAAAAAGAAAAGAAAGTCCAAGAGAAAATAAAAGCATGTTCATTTTTTTTATAATAACTATGCATTCTTTTATTAAGCAATTAAAATAAAGTTTTCATATTGGTTTTGGGATGATTATGGTACATAAAAATGATGCCCCGGAAATTCCCCAGCAGGAAGGCATTCGCATTTTACTTTTTTTATTTACAAGTCAAGTCAAAAGAAGGCACCAGAGTAAGCAGAAAACAAGAATCATAAAAACAAATATTTTATGAAGCACGACTCCAATGCACAAAGCCTCCAGTCATCGGGGCTGATAAAACAATGATGCATAAGTAGAAACGCGGAACATCTTAATGGATAGACGATAAGCACTGGAAAGCTGCTCCACCATAAAGTACTCCCTATCTTAACCTGATCTAACCAACAAAAATCTCACGTGATTTGTTCGTTGGTGTCGATTTCTAAGGTTTCCGAAGTCCGCTCACAAAAGAAAGTCAAGGAAGTCGCACAACGCAACAAAGGGACGATGTAAAATGGTTTACACACTCCCATATTGCACTTGGCTCTCGTCCTGAGGCAACAGGTCGCACTCTTGCGCCCCTATCTCACGCGGTTCTCAAACTGCTGATGACAACTTCCGTACTCGAACCTTGAACCGCAAATCCCGCGCCTTTAGGCGCCTACATTCACTTTTCTAAGACTTTTCCCGCCATCCGAGGAGCCAATCAGATATCGCTCTTTTTAGACCAATGGGAGCCACGCGGTACAAAACAAACAAACACATACAATACAAAATACAATTAAGAAAGGACACGTGCATAGACCCCCGAAAACTCCTAAAAACCTTCGCCCTAACTGTCGACCGTCAGCCGGACACCGCTTCAAGGAAAAACCCCTCGTCGGGGTGCAAGAGCAGTACCAGCGCTTCTTCTCAAAATAAAAAAAAGGCTACAAAACATCGAGGGGCCCCGCTGTGCTCGAGCGAGGCACAGTGCATGGTACGCACCCAGAGCTGGGTCCGTGGCGACGACAAACCAGCCCTGGCGGCTCCGCGAGAGGGACATGGGGCACTCGCGAAGCAATAAAAGTAGAAGTAAAGAAAGATGTTCGTTAATTGATTATTTTCCAGTCATATTAGATAAAAGACGCTAAAACTAAAAATTTTTTATTATTCTTACTATGTCATAAATGGCATATTGCATTCCCTTCCTTTTTTATTTCCTTTTTTTTTACAACTTCTCCACGAAGTTTGATATTGATAAACCCGAGAGTCAGTAACCTCGCCGACTCCCCCCCCCCTCGGAAATTTCGGGGTAAGGGGGGGGGGGGGGGGGGACCGCGGCCCTTTCGGCTCCCCCCCCCCCCCCTGTGTACGCCACTGATGTGCAATAACACTATTGTAACACAACAGATACAGCCAATGTCGCTATAAAGCGTTAAAAATTGTGGATGTGAATATCTTAACACTGCATTGTATTTGAAGTTCGAATGATGAGAATGCTTAGGCGAGAAAATCAATTTTTACTACTACAAAATAGACTTTTGGCTGTTCCAGTATTGACTCTAAAATGACTCGTATCAATCACATTGCTGTCAAAGTCACAGATAAGAAGGCTGACAGGAAATATCTTGCTGTTCTTGACTTCTCCTAGGTGTGCTGATACAAGTGTATTTCAGGTGAAGCCTGAAGGGAATCCAGAGGTTGGTATTTATATATTCATTTTTCTTTTATTGGGCCTTTTGTAACAGTCTTTAGTCCTAGAAAATCTACTTTAGTGAACAACTCCGCATCTAGTGCAATATGAAAGGGGGAATATACAAGCAAACCAGATCAAATACAAGGGGTAATCGTATGGAAATAAGAGATACGACATGAGGTATGACGATAATGTACTCTGTCAAAGGGAAGTAAATGCAATAGTGTTGTGCGAATATTCTAATTTTCGAATCTTAGTAGTTTTGAATAATATGCTATTCAGTATTCGCTTCGAGATAAACTGCGACATTCATACTTTTCGAAGTGTCGATCGCGGAGGGTGAGCCCCGCTGAGTATGCTTTTCACCGAGCACTTGTGCACTGCGGAGAAGTAATACCCGCAGAACTTGCGGTTTTTGCCGGTGTTGCTTCCCCGCAGTGCACAGGTGCTCGGTGAGAAGCGCACTCTACAGGGCTAACCGACCGTGCAGCAATGTCTTGACCACCCGCATTCATAATTCACGCTTTCGTTCTATTTGTCAAATTTGAAATTGGAACAAATTTTGTTTATAGCAGGCAGATTTATAAACCCCATTGATTAAGGTAGCTGCAACAAATTTGATGTTTACGTGCCACATTTCATAAATATGGTTGGTTGCCTTGTATATTGCAATCAATTGAGTTTAGAAGTAGACAACTGGAAGGTTAGGAACGACCTTCACGAGTTAAGCTGAATTTTCGCTTAACCATAGTGCACGGTAGTGAAACAATTATCAAATATTGAACAGTTTTAAAAAACTTCAATATTCAATTCAAACATTTTCGGCCAAAACCTCTATTTTCTCTAAAAATGCAATATTTGCACATGCCTTAAATGCAACATTGGACAGTTGATTTTATAAAAAAATGTCATGAACAATTGCGCACCAGAATGTTTGCACAAAAAAGAAAATAATATGGGCCATGTTGGAAGTGTAGATAATACAGAGCGGCTGCGAGCTTCTTGCCAGTGAGTTACTGAGAATGCAGTAATGAAGCGTGTCTTGCACAGCGCAGTACAAACTGCCCATGTCTAGGGGCCATCGGTAGAAAATTTTAAATTCACACATCTCCTGTCAAAAGAGAAACAAAATTTGAAGCAGCTACTCGTGATTCAAATTAATTTATCCGTTAAGATAAAGATTCTTGGCGAATCGCACTTTGAGCATGCTGACTTAGTACTTCGCCAACGAAAGAATGGCTTGCAGCATGGCATGGACTCTAGTTGGTTCATGAATAAAATTCTGTTGTCGTTTGGAAAGCTGGCATACCCATGTTTTGTTCCTGGGCAATGCTTTTCTTGTAACATCATAAACTCAATCTTTGATGAATCACTGTATTATTTGGTGGGATCTGTGTTGCTCTGGCATATTATGCTTGTCATTGTTGCTTTCTGTTACCTTGGCATTTTAATGTAAATCCTCAAGGATACATGTTACTTCTGTAGCGAAATTCATGGTTCGTATATTGCACATGTTGAAAACTATGGTTTGCAAGAAATTTCTTATAATTTTTAGCATGCACAGTGTGCACTGAAATTTGTAGCGTCTGCTGGATTGAAGCAGCAAATCTCTGTTGGTACACCTATTAGTTATAAAAATATAGAAAGCAGTATAAGTGGACTTATACCATGATTGCATGTAGCCCCTCAGTTGAAAGCCTGACCTGTAGGTATATTCCTCATTATCATAGGTCACTCAACTTAGGTACATTGTGGAGGTACAGCTCTGCCAGAAATATCAAGCCTGTTAAAGAACACATTGTATTTATATCTTGGGGTCAGTGTTCCTTTAGATTGGATTCTAAAGCATTTAGATGTTGCTTCATTGAAAGACAGTCATCTTATAAGAATAAGAATAAGAAGAGTCTTGACAGCAGTCTTTTGATTGTGAAGTTTTCATAATAGCGTAAAATATAACGTGCTTTTGCATTTTCAGTCGTTGCCGTCTCAGATTGTGCGAGATGCCTTCAGGAGGGCCGAAAAGCAGCAGATGTTGAGGATGGCCTGTCATCATGCCTGGACTGCCATCCTTGCAAGGGCTGTGGCACCTGCAATAGTCAGATATCAAGACCTTCCAAAGGCTATGGAAGCTTCGCTAAGAAAGGCCCTTGAGAAGAGCCATTGCTCAACTTAAAAAAGACTTATGTGCTTAGTCCTCGATTAGCGAAATAAATGCGATGCAAACTCGATTTGCAATAGGTGAAATGGAAAGTGAGAGAAGGAATATGTTCTCTGAGTGATGCTCACTCATCCTTTGCAATTTTGTATTGGCATATTCTTTCACGAATTTTGTGCTTTTTTTTTTAAACAAAAGCTACATCTATCGTCCCAAAAATAGAGATGAGTAGATAAATTTTATTAAATGCCTCTTTGTTTAACTTTGTTTCACTGTTCAAAGGGCCTCTGACACGCCAAAAAAAAATTTTTTTTATGCTAGGCATTGAAATGGCATGTCAGGACATTACAGAAAAATCGTTTCACTAAAGAGTTGCGTTCTTTTTTTATATAAAAATAGAAATAGGAGGCCGAAGTCAAGGTTCCCGCCAGTGCACTGTGACCTAACAGTGTACCGCAAGGTGTCGGGGCGGTCAGAAGGGAGGCATCGACCTACGTCACTAAAAGTGGGTTCGCAGAAAGTCACGTGAGTTTCACTGAAACTCACTAGTGGAACTGAAACGAAGTTTCAGTTCCACTAGCTCTTTATCGCTGCACCGTTGACCAGTTTGCGTGCCGTAAAAGTTGAGGAAAAAGAGTCAGTAAGGTCAATGATGAAAGCGTTGCGAGTACAAGCCAGTGTACGAGTGCATGTGATCAGTCCGATGATACGGAGCTATACTGGGCGCAAAAGAAGCTATCAAGTCTTGAAAAAAAAATTTAGAACGCTCGCAAAAATTAGGATTGCTTGCGTACGACACGCCCAATTGCATGGCTGAACATCTAGACGGTGGTTTAAAAGCGCAAAGGACTAAGAAGAGAAGAAGGGGACAGGACAGAGCGCTTACTTACAACTGTCAAATTTAATAGAGCATCTAGAGAAAGACAAGGTGGAAGTGAAAAGGGAGAAAAGAAAAATGAAATAAAATTAAAGTCACTGCTGCTATTAAGAACATATTTGGTTTTAGAAATCGAAACAAAAATATTTTGACTGCAGCTGAAGGCAAAGTACTTGTCACGTAAAAAAAAAAAACTGTCTATACAGCAAAATGAAAAAATAATAAAAATTTGAATAGTAGGAAAAAAGAAAAAAACCATTAGGCAGAGCGACCGGCTAAAACGTCTTGAGGTAAAACACCGCTAGAACTGAAGTTCTTTTTGTGTTTCAAGTCTTTAGGGCATACACCGAAGGAACTGAAGTTCTTTCTGTGTTAGGGTCACTGATGGGGCGCTTATACACTTGTCGCCACTGGTGAGGATGACTTGAGCCTCGTACAGCTCTCGAATGTTTTTGTCACGGAACCGCTTCAGAACTTTGGTGTTGGTGAATGTTGGTGAGCATTTGCAGTCTCTGACATGCACCGCAAGATGTCCCGATGGTGCCGATTTCAACGTTTGGGCATGTTCTCTTAATCTCGTATTGATACATCGCCCCGACTGACCTACATACACTTTGCCGCAAGTAAATGGTATTTGATATATCACTCCACTTTGACATTCTACATACTTGAGTCGATGTTTTACACTGCATTCTTGCTGTTGATGCTGTTGGCAATTGATCTTAGGGCAGAGCCTTTTTAGTTTGTCCGGAGCTGAAAGCACGACTTGGACTTGAAACTTCGCAGCTGTTCTCTTCAAGTTGTGGGACAAGCGGTGTATATATGGCAGAACTGTCGGTCGGTGTTTCTTGTGTTTTTCAGTGTCATGTTTTTATTTGAGGTCATCAAGGATTCCGCGACTTCATATATTATCGAACTGGGATATCCCGACGCTTTCAGTCTTTGTACTTGAGCATCAAAGCTTTCCCCCACAAAAGAAAGGTATCTTTATAGGTTCCTGTGTGGCGCCTATATTATGTGATATTTACTTGGCCCAATGTGATCGGGCAGTAGCCAGTACACTTTTCAACAGCCATGTATCTCATATTTTTCGATACGTTGATGATTACCTCGTTCTTCTTCAACATGGCCCAAGTGAGAATGAGACGCAACTATGCAACATCATCCGATCTAACTTTTTAGAAAATGGCCTGGGTCTCAAGTTCACCCAAGAGTCACCAGTGAACTCCAGACTCCAATTTTTAGATCTAAGACTGGTTTTCTCTGACAACCACGCTTGCTGGATGTATTCCCCTCGATCGAAGAAAGGTCTTTTACAGTATGATTCGGCTCATTCCAAAATTATTAAAAGAGGAATTGCAAAAAATTGCCTGAATACAGCTCTTAAAAAATCTTGCGTACACTCAGCGGGGGAAAGCTTTGATGCTCAAGTACAAAGACTGAAAGCGTCGGAATATCCCAGTTCGATAATATATGAAGTCGCGGAATCCTTGATGACCTCAAATAAGAAACATGACACTGGAAAACACAAGAAACACCGACCGACAGTTCTGCCATATATACACCGCTTGTCCCACAACTTGAAGAGAACAGCTGCGAAGTTTCCAGTCCAAGTCGTGCTTTCAGCTCGGACAAACTAAAAAGGCTCTGCCCTAAGATCAATTGCCAACAGCATCAACAGCAAGAATGCAGTGTAAAACATTGACTCAAGTATGTAGAATGTCAAAGTGGAGTGATATATCAAATACCATTTACTTGCGGCAAAGTGTATTTAGGTCAGTCGGGGCGATGTATCAATACGAGATTAAGAGAACATGCCCAAACGTTGAAATCGGCACCATCGGGACATCTTGCGGTGCATGTCAGAGACTGCAAATGCTCACCAACATTCACCAACACCAAAGTTCTGAAGCGGTTCCGTGACAAAAACATTCGAGAGCTGTACGAGGCTCAAGTCATCCTCACCAGTGGCGACAAGTGTATAAGCGCCCCATCAGTGACCCTAACACAGAAAGAACTTCAGTTCCTTCGGTGTATGCCCTAAAGACTTGAAACACAAAAAGAACTTCAGTTCTAGCGGTGTTTTACCTCAAGACTTTTTAGCTGGTCGCTCTGCCTAATGGTTTTTTTCTTTTTTCTTACTATTCAATTTTTTATTATTTTTTCATTTTGCTGTATAGATAGTTTTTTTTTTACGTGACAAGTACTTTGCCTTCAGCTGCAGTCAAAATATTTTTGTTTCGATTTCTAAAACCAAATATGTTCTTAATAGCAGCAGTGACTTTAATTTTATTTCATTTTTCTTTTCTCCCTTTTCACTTCCACCTTGTCTTTCTCTAGATGCTCTATTAAATTTGACAGTTGTAAGTAAGCGCTCTGTCCTGTCCCCTTCTTCTCTTCTTAGTCCTTTGCGCTTTTAAACCACCGTCTAGATGTTCAACCAACTAGCCCCCCAACTAATTCTGATGCAATTTCTTTCTTCTACAATGGGCCCTTTTCCTTGTCTTTCCCCTCTGGACTCTATTTCTATTTACATCAGTGTGATCGCCAACACAACCTGCAAAGCAAGATTCTATTCTGCCGCCATCAGACATGGTGCGGTTCCACCGGACTTGGTTGGGTTGTTTGGCTTTGCAAGACCTTCCCAACATCATGCAAAAAGAATATGCAAGATTGTCCGCTCCGAGATGTGGAGGCAGGTCCGATACTTCAGATCTTGCCTCTGGGTTCTTGCGGGGTGTGGAGACCCCGGTGGCGGCCAAGGACGAAGGTACAGAACCTTCCTTGACAGAGCAAGTAAGGAAACGGAATTCCTATGGTCTTCATATATTCCGCATATAAAAAGTCTCCGTGCTCAAAATAACCAACGCAAGGGAGAATCCGTAACGTTGTTGGGGGATGCTACAATACCGGCGGAGATAGGCAAGATACTCGAAAAAGGACCAAAATTCTGCACACCACCAAAAATGCAGGGCGTAGAGCTGGTGTCTAAGATACACGACATAGCGGCAAAGGCCCAAGAAGCTGATAGACTTCGATGTGTGGACGATTGTGTTGACGTGCTGCTACAGACTGGTCAAGTTAATGACAAGAATATGAGAATTCCTACTATTGTCAATTATTTCAAAACGAATGACCTAACCCTTCTAGTTTCTGATAAAGAAGGAGGTTTCGTTGTCATTCCTAGGTCACTCTACCTCGAAAAAGCAGGGCGGGCCATAGAAAAAAACTTTAACAAGTTGCATGATTTCAAAACCAAAAGTGTGAAGGCAAAGGCGCTTCAAATGTGCCACAGACTTGAGTTGGAGCAATTGAGGAAGACGATTACTGCTACCAAAAAGGACAGTCTGGATATGTTTTTCACAGCAAAAACGCACAAGAACGAATGCCCTTTTCGAGTTGTGGTCACTGAGAAAGGGTCTTGGCAGGGTCTAATGTCACGGTTCCTCTTAAGCCATTTGTCTAATCTCCAGCTGAATGACCCATTCCTAATAGCAAACTCGGAGGAACTTATTAAGTATCTGCAACTAAATGCGATGACAGTGCGCTTTGGGTTCTCACTTGATGTGGAGGATCTATTTTACTCAGTACCACACATCAAATTATTAGCAGCAGTAAGCGAATGTATTGAAGCCAATGGAACTATTTCCTTTCAAAACAAGTGCGGCATTCCGGTAGAGTCCTTTTTAGAACTTTTAAAGTTCTACCTTTCTGCTACAGTCGTCACTTTTGAAGGTGATTCTTTCCTACAAAAGAAAGGTATCTGTATAGGTTCCTGTGTGGCGCCTATATTATGTGATATTTACTTGGCCCAATGCGATCGGGCAGTAGCCAGTACACTTTTCAACAGCCATGTATCTCATATTTTTCGATACGTTGATGATTACCTCGTTCTTCTTCAACATCGCCCAAGTGAGAATGAGACGCAACTATTCAACATCATCCGATCTAACTTTTTAGAAAATGGCCAGGGTCTCAAGTTCACCCAAGAGTCACCAGTGAACTCCAGACTCCAATTTTTAGATCTAAGACTGGTTTTCTCTGACAACCACGCTTGCTGGATGTATTCCCCTCGATCGAAGAAAGGTCTTGTATGATTCGGCTCATTCCAAAATTATTAAAAGAGGAATTGCAAAAAATTGCCTGAATACAGCTCTTAAAAAATCTTGCGTACACTCAGCGGGGGAAAGCTTTGATGCTCAAGTACAAAGACTGAAAGCGTCGGGATATCCC